CACATGTAACCCATTGGTCATCATAGCATGCCCTGTTATTTTGATAGTGCCGAGAGCTAATTGAGGACACAATATCTTATTGGTCGGATGGATAGTTACAGCCCAGATCTATGCTGGCTATCAATGCTATGACTTACTCTGGGTTACTACAGTTCAATTAGTGACTAGTAACATTTGAGGACTGCAAATCTATCCATATCAATGTAAGAGTTTGAGTGTAAAAGTGCCTCGCACATCAAGCGTCACTTTGTTGTCAATATGGGTAGACCTGAGTAAATGACCATCATAGTAACTCAACAAAAGGCCACCCTTCGTTGTCGATTGTCTCCTTCGCATACACTCGTTATCCGTCCGTGCAGAAACTCCTCTATACGCCCCGCAGCCAGCCAGCTGTCATTTCTCGTTGTCGTCAACAGCGTCGTCAAGAGGCATTGCGCACCGACTATGCTGTTTGATGAAGGTTAGTGAACATTTGTGATTCTGGTGTTTATGGTGTGTACTTCCACGTTTCAGCAAAAGGCCGCCACACGGCCAGCGGACTACACCATCGTAGCTTCGAGCAGTGAATCTTTTTGAACACTTGTCAAGTGGAGGACGAGGGTGGTGCGAAGCGCTGCTTGGAGTTCTATTATAACATGAAGTGGGTGATTCACGGTTGACGTACCTTGACCGATTAGCGTGTCCTGGCTCCGTTTATCGTCTTTCGAACCATATCCTCCCACTTCCTGAGAGCACTAACGGTGCCCATTATTCCACTCTTCATCGCCCACCGAAACGCTCGTTGGATTGTATCTGTGCAACACCAACAAGAGCACGGTCTTCTCCTTGCGAGTGACGACGATCAAATGCGACCGAGGATCTTGCGACATGCAGAGTAGGTTTCCCAGCTGTTGTGTATGGGTTTGTTGGCTTGGTGAAGTGCGAACACTCGGAGTCAGTCGAGGGAGATGAGACCAGGTGTGCCATGGTAGTTGAAGCTGTGAAGGATGAATGCACGATACCCAACGCGACGTATGTGCGTACTCACATTTTTTAGAAGACCACGCATCCGCGTAGTCTAGACTCTATCCATCCATTCCCCACACTCCTGCGTCCTCCGAACATGTTTACGCCTTAGATTGCAAGTCGAGTCTTCGTGCATGCGTTATCGGTTTGTTGTAGCCTTAGGTATTGAACATGGTATTAAAACGAAATCTAAGAACTCTGTGGTTTGTAGTAGCCTGAGATTCATCGACAATATATTAGCTGCTGGTGTAGTGGTAACTATCGATAACTAATGAAAGGAAGGTAAAATCATAAGCCCTGGAGTTCGAATCCCACTCAATGCAGACATTAGAAAAGTATACACTTCAAAATAAGACTATAATTGTAGACACATCACAACACGCCATACGGACCTGCGGTTGTTTCCTGATACAGTCCAAAGAGTGAGCCGTTTCTGCTTCTACTTTTCTCAAGCTACCAAGAGAGATCACATACATAGAACTATGTACAACTACAGGAATTTCAGTATATCAAACTACACGATATTTGTACATCAGTAATTGAGCATTTCAGTTTCCAGAGGTTTCTCAACCCAGGCAACCTCTGAAAACCGCAGAAAACCCGAAAACTTGGAGACTGAGAAACCTATGTCCCTTTTTCAGGAAACCTCATGGGGTGATACTTCAGGTGCAAAAAGCTAGGAAACCTGTCACAGTATATATATAATATGAAGTACAATCTATATACATGATATATCATACTACATACGTGTGTAATAAGATATGGGTACCAGG